AAAATGGCATTGTTAGGCACTTCACCATTAGAAGGACACCACAACAAAATGGGGTGGCGGAGCGCATGAATCGAACATTGGTGGAGAAAGTTCGATGTATGTTGTCCAATGTTGGTTTGGGCAAAGAGTACTAGGCTGAGGCTGTAACATATGCGCAACACCTCATAAATCGTTTGTCGTCATCTGCAAAAGATGGTAAAACACCGTTGGAGGTTTGGTCGGGAAAACTTGTTGCTGACTATGTATCGTTACATGTCTTTGGGTGTCCTACGTTCTATCATGTGAAGGATTCAAAGTTAGATCCAAGAGCGAAAAAGGCTTTGTTCATGGAATCACAATTGGCATGAAGGGATTCCGTTACGGAACCATTTCGTCAGAACTTGTAACCGTTAGATCAATTATTCCGGACGGCAACATGGTGATCTAACAGTTACAAATTTGACAGAATAGTTCCGTAACGTGACCGTAGCATTTTCGCTTAATTTATATTCTCCTCTTTCAAAAGATTTTCATTTTGTGCATTTTTTCTATTTTTCTAATGTTATTTATTTGATTACATAACTACTTTTTTGGTTATTTGAGCAAAGACCAAGTACTTGCGTTTGAAACAAGATATGTGTGGCAAGCCCGATTTAGCAAGTACAAATAAGTCAAATTGCATTTTTCACCTTAAATTAAAAGGAAAAGGGGGGAAAAATAACGTTTTCAGAAAAATTTTTATAGATTTGATATTGTAGGTGGATTATAGTTATTATTATAATATAATATCACGTGTGAGTTGTTCCACATTATTTACACGTGAAAAATAAGTATACTTAGATCATCCACAATGCTTTGGGTTCATTCAATAAAATTCATAAGCCATCTAGAAAATAGGTCTTTACTTAGACTTAAGTCCTAAATGACATGGACAAACCCAAGTAAAAAAAACTTAAAAGTTATTCAATACAAAAATAAAATACTAGGTCTAACATACATGTCAACCAATAAAAATACTCTAATATGTTTCATTTATTAAAAGAAAATTTAAATGATGAGTGTTTGGGTTTGTACTTGGGTCCAATTTTCCAGTCAAAATCGTAGATCTTCTCCGACGTTCTTTCGCAAATTCCTGGTGACTTGCTTTGACCCATGTGAATCTGAAGGTACCGTTGAACTCCTCTCGCAAAGCCGCATTTAGTGACGTCCGCCTTCGTCGGAACCGGTGACTTTTCCCGACGACGACTTTTTCGGTCATCTTATTCAAGGTTTGGTATGGCTGGAAACTGATTTTGAGACACAATTGCAATACATATTAAAAGTTTGGTATTTTTTGCCAAATTAAAAAGGTTAAGTTTTATATAGAATTATACAAAAAGTTAAGATTTTAAATGCAATTAACCTAACTAAAATATGTGATGATATAATGTTGAATGATAGGTAATTGTATACTAGAAATATGCGATATGATTGAGTAAACAAGTTTTTTTGTTAGATTATCTTTAACAATCTTTGTTGTATTAGTCAGAATGTAGTGAAAATATGATTGAGGTGAAAATATTTTTTTTTTTTTTCTAGTTCACATCTTAAACCGCAATGAAATAATTTTTTTTTTTTCACTAAATAGGAAAAAACGAAACGAAATATTTTATATTCATCGCGCCTTATAAGTTCAATTTTTTTATTTTATTTTATTTTATTTTATTTTTCTCTATTGCTATGGTTGTAAGGTAGTGAATGGAAGGAATAGCGTGAAAAAAGGAGATAGAAAAGGACAAGCACTAGAGACATGAAAAATAATCAAAGGAGGTTATGATTTTGTGATTGAACTATGGTACTATGATGGAATATTTTAAAAGAAATAATAAAATAAAAAAAATAAATAATAAAAAAAAATAAAAAATAAAAAAGAGGAAGGAAAAAGACTGTCCAACATTCCCCTTCAATCGCATTGATAATTGGAAAAACAACAAAACATTCTCTCTCTCTCTCTTCAATTCATGTTTTTTGTCACGGCGTTGTTTGGAAGGGAATGGCATGCC